CTTTACTCCCCTACCACTGCTGCATCATCCTGTCCGTCTGCCTATGTCATCACAAAAAAATGACTTAGGCACTTATGCTATGAAGCTAACGATATATATGTGTGTGTGTGTGTGTGTTTGTGTGTGTATGAACTGAAATCTGTCAACTCACTTGGACGCACAACACTTAAATAGTTGGTGCTGATGCGTTCACTATCAGGACTGGCTGTCTCCCTAATGTACACTGCTCTCTGGACCACATGACACTCGTATGCTCCCGAGTCATCAGTAGTCACATCCTTCAGAATCAAAGACACGTCTCCATCCTTCATCTGTCTGTCTTGCAGATCCACCCGGTTCTTAAAAGACGGATGCTGATTTTCTGGATGAAATCGCTGATTCTGGTAAGAAAGGACATATTCTTCTCCCAGGTCAGCTCTTTTCCACACTACAACCATGATAAACTTTAAATCCGGGTGTGGAACTCGACATGGTAGAATGATGTTCTGCCCAGAATCAACTGTGATGTTTTTCTGGTCTGAAAGAGGAAACAACACAGAGTAGAGAAGTCAACGAACTAACTTACAACTACAGCAGCCAGTCACAGAAAAAAAAAAAAAAGATTGGATCTTTGGATCTTGTACTCAGAGCTTGTTCCTGTGCTGCCATAATTGGTTCCACTGTGCTGTGTTTTAGTCCAGCTCTGTTAGCCACTGGTAGGATTTCTGGATGTCAGCCCCCTTCTCTATCTGCCAGTGCTATATAATGTGCATGGACCTGTCCTTCCATGATGGCTCCTCCTCTTCCTACTTTTTCTGACACTGACTAGTCCCCTGCCTCTATCCTTCCACTTGGCACACAGTCTTAGGGTGCTGGACTTGGGGTGAAACCCTCCATGCATGCTAAGGAGCTCGGACAACTGCTCCGTCTATCAATAGCTGGTGTTTTGTGCCTTTGGTATTCTTGCCAATTAAATTCTGTGCCCCATTCATCTATTCAGCCATGTGCTTAATCATTTTAGGCACAGTTATACCTGGAACAATATCCGAGTTATCAACACCTACACCATGCCTGTGATCAGGTACACTCCTGAAATAATAAGTTGGCCAAAGGAGGAGATGGAAGCCAGTGACATCAAGACATGTAAGCTCCTTCATGGAGGGTTTCATCCCAGGTCCAGCACCCGGAGGCTGAATAGTAAGAAGAAGGAAGGAAGCCAGGGACTGGTGAGTCTTAGTAACACAGTCCAGGATGAGACAACAAACATCCAAGACTAAATCAGGAAGATGGCCCCAACTGACCGTGTGCTCAGTTAATACCTCTAGTAACCAGTGTTGGGAAGGTTACTTTTAAAATGTATTCCACTACAGATGACAGAATACATGCCCCAAAATGTATTCTGTAACGTATTCCGTTACGTTACTCAATGAAAGTAACATATTCTGAATACTTTGGATTACTTAATATATTATCATGCTGTTTACAACTACGTGAATGCACTATTGCTGTGATTTATTACTGTTACTGAAGGTCCGCGGCTCCGAACCGTAGTAAAGGGACCTCTGGCTAATACGGTGGGTTCTGTGTCGGGCTCGTAGCTGAAAACTAGCTTTACTTGGTGTCTGGGTCAACTTTGCTAACGAGAGACAGAGAGAGGCGCTGAAAGGCTGCTCCAACGGAACTTATTGATTCGGAGGAAAACACGAACACTGTGTACAGTCGAGTCTTAATAGCTTACTTACAACTGGGCTGTCAGGCACTCTTCTTGGCTGCAGTGGTTATTATTATATTTACATGCTTCCAGCTCCCGTCTCTGCTCAGTGACAACTCATACTTTTTGACTATCCTTTTTCTCCCTCCCTTTCTCTCACAGATACATAACTGGTATGGCAGTCCGTTCTCCCTGCAGCACGGACTACACTGCCCATGAGGCTACATTCTTTTTGTAACACTCTACATATTGTCTTCATATTAAATCATTTTTGGAATAATAATTTTTTAAAACATTTCTTCACGTCCTTTACGTGGGCCACAAGTAGAGGTGACATGGGCCGCCAGATTGAGACACAGACATTAGAGCCTTTTAATGCATGTTTTGTTTAGGTTCTACCGGCGTGGAATCACCAAAAATAGAGAGGGCATAGCCTAACATATGAAACAGGAAAATACCAATAAATATATATATAATAAAAAGTAACTGTATTCTGAATATCACTCTTTTAAACGGTAACTGTAACGGAATACAGTTACTCATATTTTGTATTTTAAATTCGTAACACCGGTACATGTATTCCATTACTCCCCAATACTGGTGGTACCAGAGAGCCAAAGAAGAAAGGACGGGGATCCATGAACCATCATGGAAGAACAGGCCCCTGCACGGCATGTAGTACTGACAGATAGAGGAAGTGGCTGGCATCTTGAAATTCTACCAGCAGCTAGACAAAGCTGGACCAGAAGAAAGCACTGAGTCACCAATCATGGCATGGCATGCTATTTTTTCATGGTCAGTGTAAATGTCGGGTACAGAAGATTATAAAGGTCCCTCATCCTATTCATGTGAACCCCTCCTTCATGTAAAACTCAAACTTACCTGGAGGAACCACAGTTAGGTAGGTGCTTCTGATGGGGTGAATATCCAGACATGTTTGTTTCGTTTTTCTCTGGTCAACGTAACACACATAGAGTCCTGAGTCATCAGCTGTCACATCCTTCAAAATCAAAGACACGTCTCCACCCTTCATCTGTCTGTCCTTCAGATCCACCCTGTTCTTAAAAAACGGATGCTGATAATCTGTATCAATCTCATCATCCTGGTAAAAAAGGACATATTCTGGCTCCAGGTCAGGTCTTATCCATAATGCAGCTATGATGGGGTCATTGCTGTTTGGAGCTTGACATTCTAGAGTGGCCATGTCTCCCCCAATAATTATGTTGTTATTGTGGTCTGAAAGAAGAAACAAAATAGAGCACAGAGGTTAAAGAACTAACTGATCACTACAGCAGCAGCCAATCACAGAAAAGAACAAAGCAAAGTAATATCTATACATATATATAGATAGACAGATCTAATAGACCTACATTGTATAGGTTGCTATGGCCATCTGAGTACAACAGATGTCTACAAATGCACCTGTCTTTTACAGGCTGTAGCAAGGTTTTTTTTTTTGGGTTTTTTTTTCTGCCTGTCCCATTTGGTTCTTTAGCCATCAGAATTGTTGTCTGAAGACCAACAAGGATACCCAATGGATTTACTTTGCCATGTAGCAAGTTTTAAAGTATAAGGTATACAAGTACAAGGATCCAAGCTTTGTTCACCTCAGAAACATCAGATATCAAGAACCAGGAAGCAGCTTCATCTCTACTAACAAACTGAACTCTACCAACTCACTTTGAAGAGAAACAGTCAGGTAGGTGGCTCTGATGTAGTAACCATCCAGACTCGTTGTTTTGCTGTGGTTCGCTCCTTTCTGGACCACGTAACACTCGTATGCTCCCGCGTCATCAGTAGTAAGATCCATCAGAATCAAAGACACGTCTCCACCCTTCATCTGTCTGTCCTGCAGATCCACCCGGTTCTTAAAAGACGGATGCTGGTAATCTGGAACAAGCTTATTGTCCCGGTAAAAAAGGACATATTCTGGCTCCAGGTCACGTCTGCTCCACTCCACAGCTACAATGGGGTTGTTGTTGCTTGGAACTTGACATGGCAGAGCGATGGTCATTCCAGTCTGACCTAATATAACTTCTTCTACTGAAAGAGGAAACAACAGAGGGGTTCAAGAGATCAACGAACAACCTGAGCTACTGGGAGATCAGGAAGCTTTTTACTGTATATTGCTTCAGACAAACACAAGGGGCACATTCAGTCAATGACTGACTGTCTAGTGAAGGAATATTGTGTGAACTCACTTAATGAAGGGCTACTGTAGTTACAGCACCACTGTTTCATAATTACTTATTATTTAGTCTATAAATACATTGTTATGCTTGGTCTTCATTAGCTTTTTTTTAGACCTCTGCTGTGGAAGTGACAGAAGGCATATTCTGAAGTTAGTCAGATTTTTTGTAGACATTTGATATTAACAATATTCAGTCACCTAAATAAACTTTTCTTCAATCAGAATACAAAGTAGCATAATTATCATGCCTATGTTCATCAGCCAATAGGATAGTTTTAAATTTCAACCCAGTGTTTAATGTTGCACCAAAATTCAAATTGCTCTCATGTGCAGCACTGCGTGATCAATCATCCGTTCCTGTGTTTGGTGTCAGGAGTGTTCAATTGATCGATTTTGTGCGGAAGAAGAGTCAAATGATGAGTCAAACACCTTATTTAAATTTTAGCACTCACTGGGCCTAAAGCAAGAAGCCAGAGTTAACAGAGGAAGTGTACTCCCTCCATCAAGGCACCTTTATCACTAACTGAGGTTTTAGGTTTTTCGACCTAGCTTTACAATGATTATTACATCTCACTTGAAAGTCTGGCAGTCAAGATCAGAACAGACATCTGTGCTCCACTCAAATGAGTGATGATGTATTATTAATCTGTAATCTTGCAACAAAGTCTACTAAATTCAACTTCTAAATTTATAAATATCTGTTCTGCCTTCAAAATGCTGTAAGCAGAGGTGTATCTAAAGCTTTATGCTGACAAATTTTCTATGAATAGTGAAAGTTAAGCTAATGTGCAACAGAGTTAGTTTAAAAGTAAAGATTTTTTTTCCCAATGAGTAGCTTTTAATTGAAGATTTATTTTTTTGCCAACAGTTTACTGTAACAGCCCACTAATGACTAACTGCTGGTTCAACCTCACTTGTTATCTTTGTAATAACACAAACTTGTGCAGAGTAGGAAAAACCAGATTTGTTTTGATATGAACTTAGGAATGAACTGTGGGTTTGAGGAAATGAAGCAGGTGTAGCAGGAGGAGAGGACAATCTCAGGTAAACAGAGTGCTCACAAGCTAAATGACGCAGCTCTCCTCCTCCCACATTTCTGGTTTAACAGAAATGCTTGGAAAAGAAACAGACCTCAGATCAGTCCTTAAGCTTTAACTCTCGGCAGATGTGGCAGGTCATACAGCCCAGTTAAACACACCTTTAAAACAATGAACAGAATCCTTGAAGAGTGTTAATAATTTATAAATCTGAAATCTAATCTCACCTGCAGAGACAAACGAGAGGCAGACAGACAGTAAAGTCCAGCAGATAGATGCAGACGTTACAGCAGACATTGCTCCTTCGTTTAAAGTGTAATAAATGTCAAAAAAATGGTGGTATTTTTCAACAATTACAAAGTCCCTGAACTTAAAATCTGATGTTTTTAAAGAAAGCTGAAAGTCTCTTAGTGTGATAACAGTTATCAGTTAGCTTGTTCTTGCGATGGTCCAGAGAGGCCAGCGTTTCTTTCTCTTTCTCTTTAGTTGAGTCTACCGTAGCGCAAAGTAGTAGTAGTGATGTGCGTTTTTTTCTCTCTTCATTTCTGTCTCTATCGTCCTCCTGTCCTGCAGGTGAAGAGGAGACGAAGAGTGTCTTCTTCCCTGTCTTGGCTCCGCCCAGAGGCTGAGTCTCTTCTGTTGATCCTGTCACCTGTTTGCTTTAAAGTCTTTACTTCAGCAGATTTAAAGACCAGATATAACCTCGTTGCCACTCTAGTACTGTGACATTGCAATGGATATTTCTCTTCTGTCACATGTTTTTGACATCTAAACTTTACAAAACAAGGAATTGTGACAGGTTTTAGGAACTAGAAATGGATCAGTTCCCCTTTTTCGGAGGGAGAGCCTTCAGTTTTCAGGCCCCTCTTCTGTGAAACCAGCTTCCAGTTTGGATTCAGGAGACAGACACTATCTCTACTTTCAACATTAGACTTAAAACTTTCCTCTTTGCTAAAGCATATAGTTAGGGCTGGACCAGGTGACCCTGAATCCTCCCTTAGTTATGCTGCAATAGACGTAGGCTGCCGGGGGATTTTCAAGATGCATCAAGTATTTCTTCTTCAGTCTCCTGTCTCACTCACTCACTATGTGTTAATAGACACCTCTGCATTGAATCATACTTGATATTGTATGATTCTTTGTCCTGTCTTTGTCCTGTCTTCCTTCTCTCACCTCTCAACTAGTCACAGTTTTTCTTTCCTACTGTCACCAAAGTGCTTGCTCATAGGAGGTCACATGACTGTTGGGTTATGTGTTATTCTTATTTAACTATTTAACTTTTAGTTGAGGTTAAAGTCAGCCATTATTTATCATTGTCTTCTTGGTTTCTGTGTTTGGGTTCTTGTCTACTCTGTCACGTGTTTTAGTTATGCTAAGCTTGTGTTGTCATGTCTAGTCTCCATGTTTCTGTTTCACTTTGAAAGGTCCCGTGTTTCTTGGTTTAGCCTCACTTCCCCTGTTGAGCCATTATGTACATTTGTGTCAGCTGGTTCCTCATTTGTTTCCATTTCCCATGATCACCTTGTTTATTTATTCTGTGTGTTTCCATTCATTCCTTGTCACGCCATCTCATCCTTATTGTCGCCACAGGTCTTTCATGATGTGGTATGGGACATGTTCATGTTTCTGGATTTCATAGATACTTCATAGCTTCCTTTATGCTCCTGTACCAAATCATATTAAGTCATAGTCAGTTCTAGTTCCTCCAGTATAGGTTTAGGTTTAGTTTTGTTTAGTTTTGTTCTCACTTGGTTTTCTGTTCCTGAGTCTCAGCCAAATAAAGGCTCGCTTTTTGTTGTAATTATTCTGTCTCCTCATCTGTGTCCACACTTGGGTCCAAAAAATATAAACATGAACTGTGAAAACATCTTTCAAGTATGGGTTTTATGGTGGATAAAATAAGATAGGTGTAAATCCTAGTTGATGTAATATGTGGTAAAAAAAAAACAATATATATATATAATGATTAAAATAATTTAAATATAAAAGAAAAATATCTGGCTGTATCAAACAAAGCAAAACAAAACAAAATCTACACCAAAAATGTAAATAACAGTGACATGGCTGAGGGGGAAAAACAACACCAAAAAAAAATTTTAAATAAAAACCTTGTTAATATGTGGACATCCTCGTATCTGAGGTGCTGGCAGAACCAGTTGGAGACCAGTAGCTGCATGTCAGTAGTCGGAGTGGAGGACTACTTCAGCCTCTGGTTTAACTTTTATAATATCACAGATTGAAAATGTGATGTCATTTTCGGGGTAAAACCGCAAAGGATTCTGGGAACGCATGGCAAGCGGTACTAGCGCATGCAGGCTTTCACATGAAAACAGTCACACAGCGATAAAAAGAAACGCAAAAATGGCAAGAAGCTGTTGTATTATTAACTGCAATAGCTGGTTGCATGACAGCCACGGGAAGCCGACGGGTAAAGAGATGGTTTTTATCGGATTACGTAGTGGAAAAGAAATTGTTCAGCCATGTTTCCGAAATAACAAAGAGCCGACCTGGTCTGGATTGCAGCCATTCAAAGACCAAATATAACGTCCCAGATCACTCCCGCTCACATGTTAGTCTGCTCCAAGCATTTCCACAAAGGTCAGTGTTTTGTTGTAGTTATTACGTAATTTATCATAACATAATTGTTCATGTAGGTTACAAATAAGTCTTATATTGATTTGAATTGAATTTGTTGCGCTATGCTGCTTTGCTCACTGTGGCTTTGCGGGCTAATGTTTGTTGTGTTTTGTAGGAAAACCAGTCTGCAAAATGCTGGAATGCGATCCAGACTGGGCCCCCTCTATCAACCTGGGTCATACCGAGTTAAAAGCTGCTACCACAGCGAGATTTGATCGGTTAAGAGAGAGAGCGATATCAAAACAGCCACGAAACGTCCGCATATATATGCCAAAGTGTTGTATTGAAGCAGTCAAGTGATCAACTGAACTGTTTTCCAGTTTTCCATTTCCAGTGTTGCTTTGCAATAATTTGGGTGTTTTATTTTCCGTTGTTTATTTGTTTTTCACTGAAGCAGCTAATAAAGCACAATGGAATACAATTTTGCCTCTTTCTTGTAAGATTCTATAATACAGTGGTTCCCAAACTTTTTTTTTGCTGGGCCCCCTTTTGTTTTACAGAAAAATGTTGCCCCCCCCCCACGTGCACACGCACAAACTTATCCTCCAACCACACACACCCATATTTTGCTCCATTGCGGTTTATTTCACACCTCAAACATTTAGTAAACAATTAAGCAAATACAAGTAATCTGCAATAAATTACAGGTAGTAAGAAAATAAACTACTAACTCTTTTACGCTATGTCCACACCTACATGGGTATTTTTGAAAACGCAGCCGTTTCGTCCACGTAAACGGCATTTCGAATCACCGAAAGCTGAGATTTTTTTAAAACTCCTTTTTTGCTTTTACATGTGGACGAGGAATACAGAGTTGGTCACGCAACGTCAAAGGTATGTGCCTTTTTTTCACGTCACGCTGTGCGCCACGTTATTATTTACATGAGAGGAATTGCAGATAGAGACAAAATACTGTTAATCTGACTATCTGCAGGTTTTACACGCTTACACGTGTAGTTACTGTCCATCCATTTAGAAAGGCAGAGGCGTCACGATGTGATTATTTTACGTGTAGTTGTTTTTTTTCCTGTAATAATATTCAACATTGCTATCAATACATTTTTCAAAAATGCCTCTCTGTGCAAAATGGGTTTAAAAACATAAACAGCTGTGGTATACTGTTTGTCTGTGATTTGAACTGAGGGAACAAATCGTGGCAGGATCAGCCCGATGTTATTTGTATCCCACTGTAACTTTACTGTATAAAGAGCTAACATCTCCAAAATGTCAGGAGTAGTTAGTCATTACAACAAGTGTTTGTGAACTAAAACTCAAGAATGTGGGATCCTGTTTCTCTGTGATTTGAACTGAGGGAACAAATCGTGGCAGGATCAGCCCGATGTTATTTGTATCCTGCTGTACCTTTACTGTATAAAGAGCTAACATCTCCAAAATGTCAGGAGTAGTTAGTCATTACAACAAGTGTTTGTGAACTAAAACTCAAGAATGTGGGATACTGTTTGTCCGTGATTTGAAGAGCCCAGTGCTGCTCCCAACAAAGGGAAAACCAATTCTGCAGGGGAGACCTACCTCGGCACTTGTGCAGGTGAAGCCAAAGGGAAGATATACTTCACCATATTTTCTAGTCTTTGGCTTAGAATGAAGTTATTACGCCCCTAATCTAGGCGTGTAGGGACGCACATAAGGTTGGAGGAGAGAGAGACAAATCCCCGCCCTGGTTCCCAAGCCAAACATCCAAACCAGTTGTGAGTAAAAAAAGGTGATTTTATTTAGGGACAAGAAGCATAGCTCCAGGGTGAGCCCAGGCCAAAATAATAAACAAAACCAACTAAGTCCCACCAGAAAAGACTAACTAAACCCTAGGAAAGAAAAAGAACAAACAAATGACAGAGCTATCCCTCGCTCCCTAACCCGGAAAACAGGAGAAAACGGTTCCAAAAGAAAAGGCGGCTCACCCCTTCCGCTTCAGCCCAAGAGTGCCTACGCTCTCAGCTAATGCACTAGGAGCGGCTTTTACAATTCACGCTCACACAAATACACAATAAAAAAATACAGGCTGGGAAAACCAGGGTCAGGGCCGCGTCGGCTGTCAAGCTACTCGCTCGCTCCTCTCTCTCTCTCTCTCTGTGGATCTGTCAGAGCGGCTTTTTGAAGGTAGTCACCTGCTCCATGGTCCAATCAGCCGCTCACTACTCTTCATTAGGGGAGGGACCTGGAAAGAGTCCTAAGCACAGTACAGAAACACAGACAGAAAACAGCCCACACAG